CCCCCAACTCATTAACTAATTTGATTTGCTTCTGTGAGTGGTTATACCGCCTTCTAGAACCTAATTCTATGAGCAAGCAAACAATCTTTATTTTAATAACAAATAAAAAAAATAAAATATATTGTTAAAATTTGGAATGTTTTATTCATTATTTGATTTATATTTCCGACTCAGAATTTAAACAGACTGTTTCGAACAGCCCCACCCACCTTGAATACACTTGCTATTAAGATTCAACATACGTGTAGTCGTTAATCAAACTTACGAGAATACTGTAGTGCTTTCGCTAAGCCCTACCCCTTGGGTATCTTTGCTAAGGCAGGTCCCACAAATCAATACCGTAGATGTACGTTCTCGCATATTCCCGTCTCTGTTCTGATAGGTCAGTTGTTAAGTTTGATTGACGCTCGGCAAAGGTCCATTACATTACGAATAGGTTTGCCTTTAGTTAAAACCTATTCATTAAAATATTTGCTTTTTTGGCTTTAAAACCTATCAGCTCACACTTTGTATTTTCATTACTTCATTTAAACATAGATGCTACAAAATGAAAATATGCTATAAGACATTTAGAAATAAAGATACAGTATACCATCTAAATATAGGAATGTGATTACTTACACATCATTTTTAATTTGCAAAGGAAAGGTTTTAATATAATTTTTCAAATAATGCTTGCCCACAGGGGACACATGCTATGAAAAGTTTAGCAAGTAACTCTTGCTACAACAGAGGCCTGTAATGCTCCTAAAGTCTTTATCTTGGTTGGCAATCATTTTGACAAGACAAACATATTAACATGAAGTCGTAAGGAAAAATAAAATTCTTTCACTTGCAGGACTTAAACCCTGGGATAGGAAGGCAAGCATTGTAACTACCAAGCTACAAACAAAGTTGAATACTACTGAACATTTTACAGTGCTTTTCTACTAAACCCCAGTGGCCTTTTGTCAGAAATTGTCAGAAACCCTGCGGGATATGCAAGGCCAGCCCAGACTATCAAATTTTCTTCGACAATGAACATTTTTATGCCCATTTTAGTCATAGTGTGCCTAAATATGGTCAGGATGTGATGTCATCATGACCATATTTAGGCATGTAATTGTTTTTATCAAATACAATTTGATAGTCTGGAAAGGGCCTTAGGCCACCAGTGATGAACAGAAAAGAAAGAATTATGGCTGCAAATGTGTAAAAAACAAAACTTTTTGAGGTAATTAACACTAATCTATTTGTTACAGAATATTCAATTAGTTTTAACTAATTTTCAAATAATACTTTGCGCATTGTGTTTATTGTGGACCTTCACCACATTAACATTTTATAATAAAATTTATGAATCATTCATTTACAATTATTTGTGAGATAATGAATAATTCATGAGTTCACACCTTTATGAAAGACACTGGTAATTTACTGCAAAAAGCACTCTCTAAAATATAAAGTACAGTATATACAAGCTATACAAGATGTGTGGTAAACAAAGTGTTATTTGATAGCATAGAATTTAATCTGAGTATCACCTGTCATTAATTAACAAGTAAACAACTAGAATCATACATTTAGTTCTTCCTGTACACCATATATTGCACTGTTCTGCAGAGGAATGGATTCCTGTCTTGTAACCTGAAAAGATATAACAATTAAAAAAATATTTTTTTTAATTTATTAATTTCAGTAATTAAAAAAAAAAATGTACAGTAATTTAAATAATGATGACTATAGAAATGACAATGATACGGAAGGTGACAGCTTTTGATGTGAACAAAAAAATATTAGACATATTTGGGTAAACCAGGGTATTTCTACCCTTCAGTAAAAGACTGAACTAACAACACATGCTACCCCTAAATTTTTTGACATGAATAAATGCAAATTTCATTTGTTTTTAAAACTTAAGACTAGCAAAATTTAAATAAAAGTAAAATTTCATTTTTGGCCAGTTAGCGCACACTCTGCCACAAAAAAATGGAAATTTTATATTTATTTTTATTATTATTATCCTCAAATCTCCAAAAATAAGATATATATTTCTTTTTTAATTATATAAATTTAAAGAATTTATCAATCTCATACACTACACTGTTTGATTTATTGATAAAAAATCATTTTGCTAATTAAGAAAACAATTTTTTTTAATACAAGGTATAAAAAAAGCCTTCCTTACCTCACTTAAAAAATTAGCAATTGTTGGGAAATATCCATCACATTGCCAGGTTTCATTGTGACTTCCTCGAGCAAATCGTATCATTTTCTTTACTCTTGAACCACATCTCTGAAATAAACAAATAAATGAAAATGTTAAAACATCCAAAATACCCAACATTAACATCTACTTGTGGTTGTTTTTAATCCCTTACCTTATGATAATCTATCTAATGTGTATAACCCCTCTCTACATCATATCGTATACTGTATATAATATATAATAGCGGTTCTAAGTTAGCCCCTTCTAATAATACTTTGTTTCTTAACCCCCATATTCTCCACCATAAGATTCTATATTACTTGTTGTTTACAGTCCCCTACAATATCCTGCATCTAATTGTTGTCTTCCTGCAACAAGTCTAGGTTTTTAACATTTTACCCTTAAAAGTTCTTGCTGGCAAAACCCCTTTTTAACATGCACATATTCCCCTAACAAGATGTGGTGTCCAGAACCTGTAACACCTGCCTATAGTATACATACTCCTCTATCACCCCAACACTGAGAAGCCTGTTTCTACTCTGCTTTATCTATGTATCTCTTTGTATGAATTACCTCAAATAATCTATACATCATATTTGGCGGAACGAGTTCATCCATTGACCCTGATAAAAATAAAGTTGGTACTTGGACTTTGTATATCTTCAAAAGAGAAAGATACTGCAAGTAAAAAAAAAATGTTTATAGTGTTAAAACAAAAAATATATCGAGAAAACATTAATATCAGTTTATTTAAAATACTCAAATTACAGTTTCAAACTGGATGGCTTAAACTAACTTAAAGAAATAAAAACAAGATATCAAAAATTTACAATACAAGATAAAAAAATAAAATGTTGATCATTCTTGATGATGACCTAGTTAAATACATCATATAGCCGTATTAGAGCACTCGGCGATATGTACTCCCTCCGCCAAAAAAAAAAAAAAAGCACACCCAGGTGTCCAACCCCCCACCACACAGGACATTTTCTATTACAAAACATTATGCTCAAGCAGCTTGTATTGTTTTATTTAGCCAGCTAGTTTCCCCTCCCTTTATCATTGAGCCCTCCCACTTAACCTTTGCACCACCATCCATATTCCCTCCCCCTGACATTCCAATACTTCAAGATTATGCCACTGGTTGGGATATTAGCAATGTAGTACTCTAGGGTGTTTTAGTAAACTTTTAGCATAATTATCATCAACTTCAGCCTACCTGATTTTTATAAAATATCAAAGGAAGCCACTTGAGGAAGTCCAGACCAATAACTACAGCACCCATTTCTGGAATATTCGTAAACGTGTTCTCCAACACGATACCTCGGATTCTGTCCTGATTCTCAACTTTAGAGGCTAGATGAATTGCAACAGCGCCACCTAGTGACCGACCCATGAGGAACATCTTTGTGTGATCAATGTCTGATCTAGTATGGAGGTAGTCGAGAGCAGCCTGGGCATCCACATACATGCCTGGAAGAGCAAACATTTTGGCTTAAGACATCACATCATGACGATACAGGAGCACTGTGACTATAGGTTTTTATGTACCGTATGACATCTTTCTTCAAAATGTGATGCTAATAAGAATGCTAAGGCTCTTTCCAAATTATTAAATTTTCTTTGACAACAAACTCTTGTATGCCCATATATAGTCATGATATGCCTATATATGGTCATAATGTGATGTCATCATTAACCTAATTATTTCTAGGCATGTCACATGTTTCTGTCAAATAAAATTTGATGGTCTAGACAGGGCTCAATAAAGATGAAGGAGGTGATGATAAAGAGGATCCACAACAATAATAGTGATGAGGCTAATTATATTATTGTGTTTCCTAAGCACAGTCACATTTAAAAAAACCGGGTGGGTCAGCATTTTCATTAGCAACACTCAATTTAGTCACTTTGGTTAATAAAATGGTAGCTACTGTACATAGCTATTTCTATAGTTCATGAAAAAAACCAAAGGCTTTCTATGGCCTGATGATGCAGATGAAGATGATGATAAGAATGATCATCAGGATGATGATGAAGATGAGGATGATGATGAGGATGATGGAAATGATGACAATAAAATAGTTTTGATAAATGGTGGTGATGATGGTGATTAACATTAATAATGAAAAGAAAACTACCAGATTCACTAGGAGTCCCATCACTTCTTCCAAAACCTCTATATTCCAAGAGCATTACATTACAACCGCAAGTAGAATACAATGCATTTGCATTCACATACCTGAGGATAAATAATAAGTACAAAACATTGTTAAACAATATGCACTACCTCTGGAGGTACCTGTGGGGAGGTACCTGTGGGGAGGTGTTGCTCATATGTAGGTGCAAAAGTGGAGTGGGAAGGGCTCGATGATTAAGTGAGGGGCACTACTGTAGGTCGTAAAATAAGGTGATTTATAACTACTTAAGCGTGAGTTTTTTGCATCGGACATTTTTAAATGGAGGAGGGGTGGGGACTAGGGTGTAAGTTCTCTTTTTTGGGAGGGGGCATACCCCACACACCTCCTAGATATGCTGTATGATGATTAATTTATGGGAGCCACCTAGAGTATTACACGCTGCTTTAAGGAAAGAACAATGTACAACTTACCTATGTCCTATATTACCAGCGTTGCCATGGAAAAATAGAATTGTTGGCACTCGGGAGCAATGTAGAGGCGATTGTTTGAACAGGACAGCGTTGATGTTTACACCATCTTTGGTTTTCATATAAATATTCTCATAAGGAATGCCAACAGCACTAGGGGGTGTCACATACGATGTTGATGACTCTGGCTGTTGTGGGAAATACAGCAAAGAATCCTGAAAATTATAAAATAAACCTGAAACCAAAATAGAAAACAAATTATTTATATTATTGATATTAAAATCACCATAAAACATGGACCATCTGGCAGTCAAAACAGTGGAGGCCCCAGAAATTTGCTGGCTGGGGGTCCGACATGTTCGAAAGGGGGGTCCGAACCAAGAGGCTGACTAGAGTGTTGGTCAGGGCCCTGGAATAAAAATCCCTGGTAGACGAATATGACATATTAAAATATAAACTGTACTTACCAAAAAGTGCACCAAACACTAAAGTCAAAATAAACAAATTTCCATGGGCCCAGTAGATGAGTAGCAGTATCAGTGTGCTTGATGTACAAAGCTGCCAGGCTTTTCGCAACAGACCCTTCAGCAGCTTACACAGAAACTTCAACAATGCTGTGATTAAAGATGGCCCAGGCTGAAGATGACGGGCAGCCATCTTCTCACTATCTGCTGAAATACACGCTTTTTTTTCCTCCAGCTTGGATCTTCAAGAGAAAATTGGGAGACCATTAAACATTAATATAATATATTGGTAGTCAAATAAGTTTCAACTCCAAATGAGACACATTTACAAGCAATTCAGTTTTGTATAGGCCCAACATACTTTCCACTACGAAGATTAATGACTGTCAGTCAGTCAATTTAAGACCGGTTAAGTGGCCGGCTAAATGAAAAGATTTACATGGTATTTAGGCCTATATTTTAGGTAAAATATTATTTATGTAAAAAAAATGGGTTTTTTTTGTTATATTTCCAAGGAAAGGAAATAATTCACCTAAAAAATATTGAATTTTATTGTTTCAAGGTTACTGATTAATATAAAGGAAATCAATTAATCACGTTTTTATTTTTAATTGTTCAAAATCACCCAATTTAAGCCCTAGGGCCATAGGCTAGACCAGCAGGACCCATCCAAAGTAGGGGTTTATTCTCCATAATTAAAAACCATACCCCCACCACCAGTAGAAGAGATGACATGGACTGCACCCCTCTTCTCCCTGCCACCTATCAGTCAGAAATGGTTATAGCCTGGGCCAAGTAGGCCCTAGGCCTACCCCCTTCGAAAGCTGGTTACTTCGGCCCAAAACCAAATCGGCTCAAACTAACTTGTACCCAAACCAAGACGGCCCCAGACGACACTTCGGCCCAAAACCTACTTGGCCCAAACCAAACTGGTTATTCAAGATGGCAAGTTAAAATAGTTGGGTGGCCCCTGTGTTGTGAAATGAATAGTTGACTTTTATTGTCAGTTTTTGCAAGGTGCTACATTTATCGAAAAACATTTTGGGTGTTGCCAATCTGAAATAAACTTTTTACTAAAAAATTTTTTACTAGAAATAACAGTAGTCACCTGTTTAATTCCAAAGTGTTAGATTTAATTTTTTTTTAATTTAAAAAATAACAAAAAACAAACAAATATAAAACCTTGCTGGGCAGCTAGCCTAAAATAACAGTAGGCCTACCGTTTACTTTAAAACTTTTCTGTTGAATTGAAAAAAAACAAAAAAAACTTTGTATGTAGCCAGTTTGAATTAAATGTACCTGAATAAATCCATATATTTGTGTATTTTGTTTGCTTTATATTCACACAAATATATATTATTTTATAAAGATTCTTCTAAAAAATAATTAATGGCCGGGACTAGTAATAATTCAGATAATATAAGTAATAAGAATAGTAATAGGCCTAATTAAAAATAATAATAGGCTTATATAAATAGAGTATATTAATAATTATAATAATATATTCTAAAATAATCAATAAATATAATATAATAACTATAAAATATATAATTTGGATAATATAAAAATAAATAATAATAGTTATATTTAAAAAAATAATATTGAGGTACCCCTGTGGACATATAAATAATATTAATAATATAACACTAAAATAATAATAATAATTGTCTTTGGGTATTATGGGTAATCGCTATTATTAGTATTCATCTGGGTAATTCTGTATCATTTGGGTAGTTGTCGTCTGGGCCGAGTTGGTTTTAGTCCAAGTTGGTTTGGGCCAATTTGGTTTTGGGCCGAAGTGACCTGCTAGTCAGGAATCTTGGTCACCTCAAAAGTTAGGCTTATGCTTATTATGTGACTGCGTGACAAAGGAAACCATCAATCATTTTGTATTTGATTGTACCAGATTAAAGAACATTAGAAATTTAATATTTGACCAACTTAAAGAGGAGTTATACAAAAAGGATTTACATATATTTTGAGAATTATTCACATCAAGCTCCCCTGAACTTAAATACCATCTTTTGTTTGATGATTTAGAAATCCATTACGAATATCAAATTTTAACAACAAATTGTATAAACCCTATTAATTATACTATTGCGAGTAACGTTTTCGATAATCATTGTAAATTACTTTTAATGATGGCATGGAAAGAACGAAATGATATATATAATACTTTTCTATTGCAAGACTAATATGTCTGGTTTTAATGTTATTGAATTAAATTTACAATATTTACTCTGTTATATGTATATATGTGTGTTTGTGTATGTGTATATATGTATGTGTGAATATGTGTGTGGGAGGGGCGTGTCTATGCATGTATGTATTGTGTGTGTAGTATGTATGTATGTAGATGTATGCATGTGTGTGTGTGTATATATATATATATAGATGTATATGTATATATATATACATATAATATATATATATATATATAGATGTATATGTATATATATATACATATATATATTCAATTCAATTCAATTCAAATTTATTTGCATAATTCAACACATTACAAATAACAAAACAATGAACAATAAAAAGATAATTTAGTAAAACATTTACAGCTCAGGATAACCCCAAAAAACCGAATCGGTTTATTTCCGTTGGGATCCCTTAAATGAAAACAAATACATAAAAGTTGGTTAAAAACTAAAACAAACATTGAAAATTTATAGCAACCTTTAAAATTTCTAATAAAAGTAAAACTTTTTTATATATACATATGTATATATATATATATATATATATATTATA